CTTCACCTTTCACGCCTTACAAGGTAGCTCTACATCGTACCGGTAGGAAGCCCGCCCGGTGAAAATCGTACGATCTCACCAATCAAAAGTCTCGGACTTTTTTCGCTTCTGAATATCTTCAATTGCACCTCCCTTCATCGCCTACATACGGGTCACTTTCACGGACCACAAAGGTCTCGACGTCATCAACTCTCTTCTCCGCAGACACAGACCGGCGCCCCGGTCGACAATGCCAGCAGGATGGCGACGCACGACAAGATGAAGAGCGCCGAGGCCGACGACGCCGCGTGGGAAGCTACGCGGGGAGCCTTCATCGGTGCCGCGAGATGGGGTCTCGGAGCCGCCGTCGTGGGCGCCTTTGCGTACAAGTTCTCGCCGCTGTACAAGGGCCTCACTATCCAGTTCAAGATGTAATACGTCACCTCACGCGACACTACCCAAGTCCCCCTTATCCTTTCCCCCTTTTTCTCCTATCTCACTCGCTTGTTCATTCACTTCGTCTCGTAATATTGGATGAAATGTGACTGACATAATCACGGCAGTTATATGCAAATGTCGGCCATGGTGCTGGGAAGCATGCTGGAGGCGGACAACAGGTTACGAGAGTATGAGGCCCGCGTCAGATTGCAGAAGCGCATTCTGAGGGATAGGGCTAAGTGGGAGAGATTTGAGCGGGAATTTTATGAGGATCCTAACGAGAAGAAATGAACGGTAACCATCACAGGCGACTGAAACCGAAATTGACACTCTCAATGGGACAAAAGTTGATCTCAAGCTGTATTTCATAGTATTGTATACCTAACATGGGACATTCAAACCCTTGACTTTTTGTTTTTCGAGCTACACAGAAAAGGTACCCCAGACCTGATTTAACCCCCAACGCCGGATCATGCAAGTCATTATGCCCCGCCAGTAGCGAGTCTTCTATCGGCTGCCAATTCTTCATTTTGAGGGAGCCTCGAACCTCTTGGGGTCCATGTTGAGCTTGCAGAGCCTCGCAACGCAGCCGCTCAGCTGCAGCAGCGTCTGCACGCCCTCCAGAATCTTCATGTGCGTGAATCCAATCTCCTTGATGAACTCGAGCTTGGAGTGCTCGCTCAGCGTCGGGATCGTCTTGGTGACCTTGAACATGGTGCTGATGATGTCGTGGCTCGAGTACCCCAGGTCCCAGAGCTCCCGCAGGCATTCGAGCGCCGAGTCGACATTGCCCTCGTAGCACGCCTTGAGCATCGCCTGGACCTTGATCGGGTGCGGCGAGTCCACCACCTTGAAGACGTTGTCGCCCGACACGAAGCCGAAGCCGGCAAACGTCGACTGCAGGTTGTTGATGGCCTGACGCATGTCGCCCTCGGCGCTGAAGACGAGTGCCGCGAGGCCGTCGTCGCTGTATTCCACCTTTTCAGCTTCAATGATTTGCAGCAGTCGCTTGACGACCTGCTCGTCGGTGAGTCGGGCGTAGCGGAGGATGGCGCATCGTGACTGCAGCGGTTCGATGATCTTGTTGGACTGGTTGCAGGCGAAGGCGAAGCGCGTCGTGTTGGAGTAGATTTCCATTGTCCGGCGGAGGGCCTGCTGAGCGCCTGATGTCATGCTGTCGGCCTCGTCGAGGATGACGAGCTTGTGGCGGCCTTGGGGCAGGGTGACCTTCTTCTGCGCGAAGCCCTTGATGCGGTTGCGAACGACGTCGATTCCTGTGCTTGAGCGTCAGTATTGGATGTGACACAGACAGAACACATCTGTTAACGTTACCTCTCTCGTCACTGGCGTTGAGCTCCAATACAGCCTCCTTGTATGTGTCTCCGAGCAATTGTCTCGCCAGGCAAAGCACACTGGTAGTCTTTCCGATACCAGGCATGCCCGAGATGATGACGTGCGGCATGTTTCCCTCCTTTGCAATGATCTTTAGGCGATCAATCGTCTCGGTGTTTCCGACAACGTCGTCAAGGAAGACTGGGCGGTACTTTTCGACCCTGAATCACGCATATTAGCAGCTGGGTCGGAAAGCTGGGGGAAGTCTATAGTGACTGACCAGGGAAGCTCATAATTGGGAACGCCGTTTGACGCCGCAGTCAATGCCTTCTTGGCTGCGGACGTCGAAGACTCGCCAGCCTCCTCTGGCTTCGTGATCTGCTTCTGAGCGGGCATGGCGGCTTTTTCCTTTGGCTGGGATGTTGGGAGATGCAGATAGCAGATCGTCAAGTTGCTGGAGTTCTGTGCGGGCAGTGGGCAGAAGCACTTTACGCGATGCTCATCGAAAAGACGCGTCGGGTGCGGAACGCGCTAAACTTCTCTGGGTCCACCCTTGTCTTCCCTGCCTGGTCTCCAGCACTCAACCTGACCGACATCTCACAAACACCACTTGTCAGTCCTGAAAGTTTCCCCTCCCGACCTTCAATACGTAGACATGATTACAGTGTGTAGTCACGATTTTGTCGCATCACGAACCCTTTTAACGTATTTTCTCCAAAAAAAAAAAAAAAAAGTACTCGAAACATGAAGGCATTCAACTTTTTTTCATTGCATTTTGTTCATCCAAGGTATCTAGTCGTCGTCTTCATCGGCCTTCTTCTTACCCTTCCTGGTCTTCGCACCTCCCTTAAAGTGCTTCTTTCCGGACGACAGCTTCACGTCTTTGGGGTCAACTCCGCTCTCCAGAGCAATCATTGCTCTTGCCTTCCTTCCACTCAAGTGCTTCTGACCCTGCTCCGTGTACTTGTGGCTGAAGGGCATCTTGGTGTGACCGCCACTGCTGTTGGGGCCAAAGAAACCCTTATCGATCTGCTTGGATTTAGGACCAGCCGGCAGAGCTGCTAGGTCTGAGGGAGCTATCGAAATATCATCGTCCACAATGGACATGGTGTCCATAGACGTGCTGAGGGCTCGACGGCGCTTCTCGGGGAGATGCGTCTCGTCATAGAGCTCTGCGTTGAACTCTGGGCCCTCAACTGTTCCTGGTGGCGGCTCACAGTACAGGAGCTTTCCGGCAACGTAATCTTTGAGGATGTAACGAGATGCTCTTGACTCGTCAGGCTGGCCCAATCCTTGGGTCTGGAAACCTCTAGCTCTGGCATATGCGCGGAGCAACTCCGGAGCCGTAGGAGTGCCTGTGCCTCCCTCTTCGATAGCGCGGGTCTTGATCTTGATTCCGTAGACGGCTTCCAAGAAGGACTTGGGTATCCTCCTGGTGACCAAGCCAGCCGGTCCTTGGAACTCTCGCAGTTGATCAATAGGCAACACACCGTTGCAGACCAGGTCGGCTTTGGTGTTTGCGAAGTTGGGGTAGACTAAACCAGGGCAATCGCACAGGACAACGTTGTCGCTGAGGTGAATTGTCTGGAAGTGCTTGGTCTTTCCTGGTGTTGACGAAACTGACACCTTCTTGGCACCAATCAAGGCGTTGATGGTGGAAGACTTTCCGACGTTAGGGTATCCGACAAGACCAATCTGCAGCTTGTGGCCAGGCTCTGTTCATCCACCGTCAGTATCCAATCCAAATCACGTTTTTTTTTTTTTTTTTTGGGGGGGGGGGGTCGGGGGGTCGTCATACCTGCGTTCTCGGGAGCATGGCTGAGGAAGATTCCCTCCAGCTCCTCCACCGTAAGAATTCTCGTATCTTCGTCATCAACGTCAGCCTCAGCCTCCGGCTGCGAAATCTCAGGCTGAGCGGTCTCTGCGCCGCCGTCCTCTTTGTCGTCCTTCTCTTCCTCATTTTCATCCTCCTCTGAGCTCTCCTCCTTGGCGGATGCGGCATCCTTCGTGGCAGCGTTGGAGCTGCTGCCAGCCTCAGGTTCTTCCTCCTCTGACTCGTCGTCGCTCTCCATGGCCTCAAGCAGTTCTTTCGCAAGATGCGCAGAGAAGAATCTGTACGCAATGCCGTTCTCCTTCAGGTACTTTGCCCACATCTTGCGCTGCTTCAGTGTGAGCATGTCGGCCTTGTTGATCAGCAGCAGGTTCTCCTTCTTCGAGTCGATATCTTTGACGTAGTGCTCCAAATCCTCGGATCTGAAAAGCAAGGGGTTCCTAGCATCGACGATCTGAACAATCAAGTCTGATCGTTCAATGACACGCCAAAGCTGCCTCCACACCTCAAGGTTACGCTCGAACGGCGTCATGAGTAGATCGTTGTTCTCCTGAAGTTCGGCGAGGCCTCGTCTCCAGTCAAGGAAACTTTCCCTCTCCCGTCTGTCCAGCTCCTCCGGTGTGGTGGACGCATCCCACTTTGGTCTTCTTGGCACTGTCAAGCGTCCTCTGTGGGCCTTCTGCTTGCCAATGATGGCCCTTTCCTCTGCTCCAGAAAGAAGATACGGGTTCTTTTGGTCGGTGTGGATGATCTTGACGTTATTCATTTTCTCCGCCGTAAAATCCGTGCCCGCCAGCTCTGCGGTCGCGAGGAACTCGTCAAGAGCGCCTTGCTCGGTAACTGATCGCATTTTGACCCATGATGCTTCTTGTCGCTCGTTCGTGAGGTACTAGCAAAGTGTGAGTGTCTTCCTGGAAATATCGGGACAGAGAATTCCGGCGTTGCCTCATTACCTCTTCTCCTGTAGCGTGGTTCACTCTGGTGATGGTACTCTTCTTCCTGTCTGCGCCACGACCCTTGCCAAAGCGATCGTTCATCAGGGCGTTGCCCAACCCTGCGGTCTTCTTGGATTTGGCGTGCACCATTTTCGCGGTGATCTATCGTCTCTCGCTACCTTGGAAAATAGGGTGAAAAATGCGCAGTGGAAAGAAACGACTCCCAGAGCTGCTTTGTGAATCGGAATGAGTAATAGTGGGAGCCGTCGCAAGTGCCCGCCTTGAAGAGAATAGCAGTGCCCCGCGACGATTAATCAGCGGGGCAAAAAAGTGATTTTGGGCGTTTATCGATAAGAGATTTTTTTTTGCGATCGCGGGGCTCCCATCTGTGCGTCCCACTGAATCTGTCCCTCTTGCGCACCCAACGAACGGTCAATTCGAGAAGCCCGGTATACTGTTGCGCAAAACACCCCAAATTAGACAAAATGGCGAAGGGAAAGAAATTGTAAGTTTATGTGTATTTTTATGGTGTGATAGCTGACAGTTCTTTCCAGCGACAAGAAGAGTGCGCAGCACTTCACCCTCGTCCACCGACCGCAAAATGACCCCCTCATCCACGACGAAAATGCGCCCTCGATGGTGCTCAACCCGGTGCCTCAGAAGGGTGGACCGTCGAAGAGCAAGCATCTGAGCGACCTTGCGTCTGAGTTCGGATCAGAAGCTGGAAGCATACGCGCAAACGAAGGAGAGGCGGCAGAATACGGCGTTTACTTTGATGACACTGAGTACGACTACATGCAGCATCTGCGCGGCTTGAACTCGGGGGGTGGTGAGGCTGTCTGGGTCGAGGCCTCTGGTGCGGCAAACAATGACAGGAAGGGAAAGCAGGCGCAATCACTTGAAGATGCACTGCGCCAGATGGATCTGGAGCACAAGAGCGAAGATCTGCTGGATCCCTCAGTCCTCCCCAACAGAAACCTGCCACGAACCAACTACGAGACACAGGTGGATATCCCCGATGCCATCGCTGGTTTTCAGCCCGATATGGACCCCCGCTTGAGGGAAGTGTTGGAGGCATTGGAGGACGACGCATATGTGGATGACGACGACGATATTTTCAAAGAGCTCTCCAAGGACTCACGTGAAGTCGATCAGTACGAATTCGAGGATCAATACGGCTACGACGACGAAGATGAGGGCTGGGAATCAGACGACACCGCAAAGCCGAACAAGGAGTACAAGGACGGAGCAGTGCCGCAGCTGGTCCCTGTTGAGGGGGAGGCATTACCAGAACACCAGAACGAAGACTGGATGGAGGACTTTAAGCAGTTCAAGAAAGACCAAAAGGGCGGCAAGGTCCAGCCGGCCAAAGACACGCCGTCCGAGTTGCAGTCCTCCATTTGGACCACGACAACGATGGGTGGCCAGAAGAAGAAGAGAAAGGGTGCATTGACCAACCCCTCTGCCTTCTCCATGACCTCGTCAGCCATGGTCAGGACGGAGCAACTCACCCTTCTGGATGCCAGATTCGACAAGATTGAGGAGGAGTACACAAATGAGATGGGCGACGATATGGCATCTGTCTCAGAAGTATCAACGGCAACCAGTGTGACCGGACCCACCAGAGGCGACTTTGACAGTATCATGGATGATTTCCTGGGCAGCTACACCAAGCCTGGAAAACGCACAAACAAGAAGAACCGGCCGCAGACTGGTCTTGAGCAACTGGACGAGATCAGGCAGGGTCTTGGCCCAGCTCGGTTCCGTTCACTAAACACCAAGAGGGTTTAGGTCTGTTTGCGCCTAGATATAGAAGCATTCGGCGCAGCCTAGATTCCGGTCATCGAGATACCCTCACTGAGCGCCAGGTTGCATGAGATCTGCGCCCCATAGTGTTATGACAAACAAGTTGATGTTTTATGAACCACCGTTTCCTTCAACTTGATTTGGGATTTACCACATGCTGAATTCCTGGAGTCTCTAGACTAATGATGTTGTGTTCAGTGATTCACATTTGTTGCTTCCAACAACGGAATAATTCTTTGTCGCTAGAGAGATTTGTCGATGCTTCCCTTGTGGAAGAAACACCCGAAAGTGTCTGTGAAGAATGTTCCTGCCTTCAGAGAACCCTGAGAGGTTCAACGCAAACAAAGAGGGCGTGCCTTTATCTCTCACACACCCCTCGCTCAGTGGAACGCAGCTGTGGGCCATAGCTTTGCTGGCTTTAAACGCCGTTAAACGCGATACGCGCCGAAAAAAACGCGGCAAACGCAGACCAGCTCCATCCTAGTTCTCCACTTGGTTCTTGTCTGCCTCGTAGTTTCCTTCTTGTTTCCTTTCGCGAACCCGACATGACGTCGGTCTCTTTCCCTCCCAGCAGACCCGACAGGAAGCTATCGCCATTCGGAGGCACATTGACCGGTGGCTTTGGAAGTCAGCCTGACGCGAGCAAAAACGTTTTCGGCCTCAATGGGGCGGGTGCCGGCGGTGGGCAGCGGTCGACACGCAACTTGAATAACCAGCCTCCCGATATGACGACTCCTGCGACAAAGCGGAAGGGCGTCAACCCGTTCGATGGCACCAGCTCAGACGATAACCGACGACGAAAAAACACGAAGGGAGATTCACAAGGCGACTGGAAGAAGAAGGGTCCCAAGTCGCAAGGCGCGAAGCCAAATGGCGCGAAGGCGCCGAAAGGGTTTGGAACCGCTCAGTCGCGCGGTGGTTTCGGCACCCAAAACAACAACAATCACAGCTCGGGATCTACCGACTACGAAACGGACGACGCGAATGGCGAATTGAAAGGTGACGGCACTGCGTACTCCGACAAAATCTTCTCGCAACTACGACAGGATGGAATCGCACCACCAAAATGGCCGTCCGATCCAGGAAATACGTCGTCCAAGGCCGCGATGGCCAAGTTCAGGGAAGAATACAAGACATATCGCGATCGGGCTAGGACGTCACTGATGCGCGCCGGCCTGATTGACGACCCCGATAAGCCAAAGCGGTTGGAAGACGCGATTGACTTCAAAGGCATCTGCGACGCGATGTGCCCCGACTTCGAGAAGATTACTCGCATCACCGAATTCGACGTTCAGTCCGCCGAAAAGGATCCCCGAACGACTTTTGCCAATATATCAAAGATGGTTAAGAAGCTGGCGCGTTCCGCAGCTGGCCAGGAGGCTCCGCTACCAATGGATGTCAGATCCACAGCCGCCCTCAGAAGGACGCTCGACTACCTCATCGACGACCTCTTACCGATCGACGACAAGCTACCCTCTTCGCATGGTTTTCTGTGGGATAGAACACGTGCGATTCGCAGGGACTTCATCTTTCATTCGACAATGTCTCCCGAGGAGATGAAGGACCAGGTTTACTGTCTCGAGACAATTGCCAGGTTTCACGTTACAGCTTTACATTTGCTTTCTCAGGAAGGATTTGCGCCAGAAGACTTCTCTGAACAACAAGAAATCGAGCAACTGGGGAAGGCATTGCTTTCGCTTATGTTTGCTTACGACGATTGCAAGCCGCAAGGCGTTGTTTGCGAAAACGAGGCCGAGTTCAGGGCATATCATTTGCTTTTCAGCGCAAATACTCCCAATATCCTCGATAATGTGCAAAAGGAATGGGGAGACTCTCGATTCTGGACCGAATCCGATACCATCAGAACAGCTGTCTCACTTGTCGAGAGTCTGCAGAGCGCAGAGGACTTCCACGGCCCCTTGGGCTCGGGCCCGTCCATGGCAACATCGGGTGCACACCTCACTTACTTTAGAATCCTCCAAAGCCGAGAAGTGTCTTATACAATGGCATGTTTTGCGGAGATTCACTTAGGTCAGCTGCGCCGCTCAGTTCTTCGCTCTTTGAAGAAGGCGTACACCAGACCGCGACACGGGGCGAAAGATATTACGCCCTCTTCGCTAAACCGATTTCTTCACTTCGACACAGAAACCCAGGCGATTGAGTTTGTCGAGCAGCATGGTCTCAGCTTCTCAAATGGACAAGGACCAGCGGGCGAACCCATACGATATCTGGATACCTCACAACGCATGACATGGCCGAGAATCCATCACAGTTTCTCTCAGAGATTGGTTGAGAGAAAACGAGGCTCCCGTAGTCTTCCTGAGATCATCCACCGCACAATTGCCGACGAATCCACGGGCGCTGGCCAGCAGGCTCCTACAGGATTTTCGACGGGGCCAGCTTCATTCAAGCCGCCTCCACAGCAGGCTCCTTTTGGAAGCCACTCAACAACGAACGCAGACTCTCCTTTTTTCAAGTTGCCTTCTTCAGCACCCCAAGGAGGCACCTCGACGGGACTCACGGGTACGCCGTCTTTCGACAAAGGTAAAGAATCTTCCATACACTACCCATATCGTTGTAGCCTCTTGCCTACCAGCACCGTTGTCGACGTCAAATTCATTGCGACTCTCCTCCGCCGGACCAATTCTCTTCAGTCAAGATCGAACGTCACAGTGCCAGATTTCAGACGTGGCAATACTTGGTGTGGCTGATCAACTGGCAGCCGTTTCAGAGGTTGAGAAGCGCTCAAACAGTCATCGCAATCAGGACGAGATGACTAGCAATGAATTGTCAATGGCACAAAAAGAAGAGGGCAGGCATAGCCAAGCCGGATATCTGCTAACATTGTGTCCCACAGCAACTGAAGGCCACAAGCCTACCTCGACGAATTCCAGCCCATTTGGAAACCCTTTCTCAACAGCTCCATCACCATTCACTGGTGCATCCTCTGTTCAACAAGGCGGCTCGGCCTCATCATCGTCATCAACAGCAACGCCGGCTCTGAATCCATTTGCCGCGAAGACAAGCCCTTTTAGCAAGCCAAACGCGGCAGCCGAGAGCGCGACGCCTAGTAGCAACCCTTTCGGGTTGTTAAATCAACCAAATGGCACTTCCCAGCCCAAAGCTCCGAGTATCCCGGCATTCTCTTCTCCGGCCTTCGGCAGCGGCGCACAACCCAAAGCACAGGAGCAAGCGCAGCCAGCTACCTCGACAGATGGCTCTCCGGCCATCACCGTCACTCCGCCCACACCAAAGTTCCCATTGTCAACGTCAGCGACAGCCGCAGAGTCGTCAACGCCTTTCAAATTCTCATCAAATACTGGCGTGCAGTCCGCGACTCCGAACGCTCCTAGCAGCCCTTTCCAGCCAAATCCGAAATCATCTGCGACACCGCAGCTACCCTCCTTCTCGGCAGGCGCGGCAGCTCCCGCTCAGCCGGCAAAGCCTCTTACAACATTTCAACCTCCACCGAATCAGCCTCCCAGCCTTGCTCCTACTACGGCAGCTCCATCCGTTCTCTCCGGGTCCGGGCAATCCCCATTACCTTCCTTCAACTTCCAAGGGGTTAGTTCGGAAGCCGTAAAGCCAGCGCCCTCGCCTCAGCAGAGCTTCCCTCCAGCTGTCGCCTCGCCCGTACCAACTGCAGCTTCTCCACTTGCCCAGGCAAAACCTCCTCAAGCTCCGCCTGTGAAACAGCGGTCCAAGCAAGATGTCATGGCCGACTTCGCGAAATGGTTCGTCACAGGTGACAACGGGCTGATACAAGAGTTCGAGAAGTACATGGTTGAACAGCTCGTCTCGGCCGCTTTTGAACAGCATCACAGGGAGGAAGAGGAAAGGAAACGAAGGGAGGAGGAAGAGAGAGACCTGGCAGAGGCACGGAAGTTCCAGGTCTACAACCTTTCCGTCAAGTACTTCTATCGATGGAGGGAAATCGCCAGAAACCTTCGCCTCACCAAGCTTCGCAGACAAGAAAGGGAGGAGTACCGAAGGGCTCAGCGGGAACAACGGGAGGAAGAGATCAGGCAGAGGAAGAAGGCGGCTAAAGTTGCCGAGGCGAAGAAAAAGGCCATGGAGAGGAACGGTTTCGACCCTGTGGAGGAATTCAGAGAGCTCCTTCAGCTCAGAAAAGACGGCACACAAGCCGACTTGCAAGCCGAAGCAGAGGCTTTGCTAGCGACCGGCATTCTGTCAGGCGTCTCGGACGAACGGGTTGCAGCCGCCAATGTCATCCGGGCCCCAGCGACGATGGAAACACTTGCGACGAACACGCCTTTACCTCGATCTCGCTCGTCAACAGCCTTATCGCAGTCGACTACGGGTGCTAAGCCCCGCGGCGCGAAAACGCGGGCCATACGGGAAGAGTTTGGCAAGAGCGCTACCAATTTCCGACGATCACTGCCTCCCATGTCAGCACACTCCTCATCATCACGAATGTCTTCAGAGCCGCAGAAGCGCGTTAGCAAAGTGTCTGATCGCTGGCGTCTGAAGGCGATGGGCCTCGTCACGATGCCCGACGGAACAGCGCTGCCGGAGACCATCGCAAACGAGATGCGGTACAATGGGAAACGATATGCAGGGCTCGGGTCATTCGGCTTGGACGGCACCGAGCGACGCCGGAGCGTCTCTGCGGATCTCAACCACGCAGCCGAGGCCCGATTACGCTTTTCGCAGTCGCTCAACGGTGGCAGTGGCAGTAGCAGTGGTAGCGCTGCCGCCGTGCCACAGGTCAACGGGATCTCACCGCTTAGTAAGAGGAAACGGGCTCTCGATGACGACGACAACGAGATTGCTGTCGCGGACGAAGCCGTCACACGCGTCAAGAAGCGGCCATCGAGCAATGCGGAAATTGATAGAATACTTCGGGAGGCGAGGGAGAATCTGGAATCGTTGAGGAGTTCGAGGATCGAGCTTGACGAAGGGGCAGATTGGTTCAGGGAACAGAACGAGATGATGCACGCGGAGGAGGCGAGCAGGGCTAGCTCGCCGTGGGGGAAAGACGGTCATCGGTGAAAGGGACGGAGGGACGGGGTTACGTACGATATGCATCAGCATTGGCGTTTTCAAGGGTTTAGTTTCTTGGGCGTGGAGTATGAAGGTCAACTCTTTTTGTTTTTCCTATAAGTAGTTCTCGTCTTTGTAAAGGTACACAAAAAACAACTCGGGCTACGAATACCCATAGAAGAGACATGTTTGGATTATTACGTTTTCGCATAGATGAGATGTGCATGCATGGCCACGAGTGATTTTATGAAGTGAAGTTGAGAGATGTATGTGTGGGATTGGTATTATTGTCTGGTATTGGGTATAATAACCCCGTGTGATCCAGTGTCCTCTTACTACGTCATCTTATAGATGTACTCCTAAACGCCACTCGCTACCGACCGTGACTTTAAACAAATGAAACCATAGGGGGGACCCCTTGGACAGCTTGAAAACACGACAACTATCTCTTCTTGTGCGGCGGCGGCGGCGGAAACGCCACCTGGATCTTATAGCTCTCCACGGGGCTGCCTCCCAACGAGGTAACCCTCTTTGGCAACGGCCGCGCCAGATCCCGCACGATGCCGGGGATGGTCTTGGACGCGTCCGATACCAACGGAGGCGGCGAGGACTCGGTGTGGATGTGCCGATTATGCGCAGGGGCGGGCGCGGGCCAGCCGGCCTGGCTTAGCAAGGGGCTCGCCGTCGTTCCCGAGGTCGGGGAGGCGTAGGTGGTGGACGGGCTAAAGCTCGCCGCCGCGTTGCCCATTGACGGGGTCGAGAAGCCGTGCTCCGAGGGGACGTAGGGTCTGAAGGAGAGGAGGGGCGCAGCGGAGGTGGTTGATGTTGGGGTGGCGTACTCGTCTTGCGGGGAGGCCATGTTGTATTTTGGGGAGTGTGCTTTTACGGGGATGATGGGGAGGCTTGTGGTAATATTTGCGAGGGTGAAGGGTTCCTTTTGCGAGGGCTTCTTGTCGGTGTAGGGGATGTGGTCTGCGGCTGTGAAAGAGGTGATGGAGTTGTGTGGCATCCAGAGACTGGGTTTTGATACGGGACTAGGGGCCATGCCTTGCTGTTGTTGCTGATGCATGGTCTCGTAGTAATGCTTTTCGTTTTGCGCCTCTTCCTCCTCGACGGAGAAGAAGTTTGGTTCCTTTGGTGTGAGATGCGTCTGGCAGCGGAAGGAGAGAGATGAGGCTGGGCGGTGGCCCTTTGCGCGGCGTGAGAGCTCTGGGTTGATGCCGCGGCCTTGTCTACGTGCCCTGCGCTTGCGGCACTGGATGAAGGTGCAGCCGGCAGCTAGGAGGAGTGCCACGATGGCTCCTATGACGATTCCCACAATGGCCGTCATTGGCAGGGTGGGAGTTTGAGCTTTGTCGGCATCTGCTGCATCCTTTGGGTCGACGACGGTGATGATGCCCTTTGTGAAGACGGTGTCGTTGAGGCCGACTAGTGTGCCTGGGCTTGGTCTTTGCTGGCAGCCTGCTCCAAGGGCAACGAGATCTATGCAGTATGTTAGTGATATGCCTGCGGGGATGATGTTGACCAAGAAGTTACATACAGTTTGAGAGATAGTAGTGTTCACCACCTGCTCTTACACACGACAGGCACTTGTCGTAAGCTGAACCTAGCATGGCACCGCCATCCGCATCGCAATATGCGTACTGCGATGATTTTGTTGGGTCCAATTCGCCGTCTGTGAGAGCAGCCTCCAACGCGCCACACGCCGTAGACGTCTGGCAGGGGTTGGAGCCTACGCCGGTGGCATTGGGGTACCCAAAGATGCAGTAGTCGAAAGAGTACCTCATGTTGTCTGTTAGTGTTGGTCAGCACCCCTGGCTCTCTCAAGTGTGATTGCTGTAAGACTTACACAGAAACCAGTCTTGGTCGTTCTCACTGCCCTGAACAAAGGTGCTGTCCTGAAGACAGCTCAAACACTGCTGGTATTTCTGTCCGGCGGCCCCTGTCTTGTAATCCTCGTCCACACAAGTAATGTCCTTGCCCTTGGTGTTGGACGAGTTGGGGTCCGAGGCATCGAGGCTGTTGGAGTCCAGACAGAAGGATGCACATGGCGAATTGGGCGTAACTTGGAGTGCTGATACACAGGCCGGTACGATTGTGGTGAGGAGAAGGAGGGCGGATCGAGCGGCCATTGTGAGCTGCGGCCGGGTTGACAGGGATTAAGGAGTGTAGTCGAAGTAGAGCAGAGCAAAGACTCCAGAGCCTTGCAAACTGTAATTAGGTTAAAGATAGTAGAATAGAGGAGTTGATATCTCGAGAGATGGGTATTAGATATCGCTCAGAAAAGCCAAGAACACAAACGAAACAATTGCACACACAAACAGACGGAATAAGCTCAGCGTGACAGAAACTGCTTCTAAAGTCAAGGTGGGAGAGCAAGGTGATATATCTCGCAGAAGACGCCGATCCCATCTCCACCATTCACTCGAGCAGGGGGCGGGGGGGGGGGGGGCCATCTGCAGCTGCAGGAACAGGATGGTCTGGAATGGTAAGGTGATGGTCTGGAGTCACCTGCAGCTCGCAGGGCTCATAAGAAAGGATTCCGAATGTTTGGGGAAAGATACACAGTAAGAGATACGGCGTAGCAAGCATTTGGCAAACGCAGCCAGATAGGGTAGAGAGCGGCGTCCCAAGCCGGAGACGGGCCCGTCGTCCTGCCGCCCATCTGCTCGACCACAGTTCGAGATGGGTGTCGGCGTCGGCAGAGGGTGTGGTGATGTCGGATTGAGGCGGCCAATAATAGGCCTGCACAGGTTCCCGAGAATTACGGTTATAAAGTGATGGAGGGGGCGGGGAGTTAGGTGGGCACTCAGGACTCGAGCAATCGTACAGAACTGGGCTCCATAGACGCCGTTTCCCGACAACATGAGAGTATCGTCTTGCCGTTGGGAAAGCTCGTCAGGTGAACAGGCGATGGGGAAGACGGTAGAGCGCTAAAGACTTCCCAGCACTTGCAGGACGGTGTGCGGCGCGACACCTCAGGGCGGCAGCTTGTTGGTCCGCCGCGATGTGTATTTGGTTAGCGGCCGCTGGACGATGCACATCTCTCCATCTGCCCCCAATATGGTGGTGCAAGCGATCGATAGTGTGGTTTTCCCCTTAACGATTTTGCGCGTATGTGTGCCTGCGTGTGCCCGCGAGTGTGCTTGTGCCTGTGCCTGGCGTTGGTGGGATGCATGGTGCAATGTTAGTGATGATGGCGGGCGGCTGCGAGATGCACCCATGGATGACAAGGGCCATGGGAGTTGGGGGCAGGAATGGGAGGAATCGTTGTGCCAATGGGAACACGGCGTTTGGCGATGGATCTGGTTGGTTAGGTCTGTTCTGTTGGAGTGTTGGCGTCTTACCACGAAAGTGTGAGTGACAGTCAGCGAAGCCCGGCGCTTACAATTGGCAGTGGCATTTGGTTCCTGTCTTGCCTGCCACGCCTGTCTCCCACTGTTGGTTCCCTTTGGCTCCTTCCATCGGGGCATTTACATTCTCCACTAAAAGCCGTGAGCTCGGCCCAGTGGGTTCCACAGCGGGACCCAAGTGGACAAGTGGGGTCCGGCCAAGGTATCGCGGTACTTGGCTTGTCGCTCGTTGGCGATCAGTTCTGGGTCTCGTCAATGCTCTTTCCCTTTTCTCTCATTCTCTTCTCCATCACTTTACGGAGGAAGCATCTCTCCCTTTTCCATCCTTGGCCCCGTCAGCCTTCAGCCACAATACACACCACCCCGGTCGCTTTTCCAATCTCAATGCCTTTACGGAAACCATCCAAATCCCGGCCTGTCTATGTTGAGAGTTCCCTTTTTGGTTGACAACCCTTTTACCAGACGTCTGCTATTAGGGGGGTTGTTAAGCATGCCGCACCCAATTCCGCATGGGTTCCCTGCTGGCATGAGCTTCTTTTCCTCGGACTCCCTTTACACCCCTGGCAAAACTCTGTTGTCACCTTGTCTGTCTGCTGGTCTTGTCTTACTGAGCCGAACTTTTTTTTTTACCTCTGAAAGCTTGTCACTTTTGCATCACTGAGGTGTTCGAGTGTTCTTCTGAATACGGATTCATGGGAGTTCGTGATTCGTATATCTCACCAAAACTAGAAACTAAAAGGAAAACCCAATATCTTGTATTCTCGCCTTCGATTCCGATTGACCCGTCATCGTGCGACGTTGCTTCCGTCCATTCCGACTACCTGGGTGTGGTGTAACACCCTTTGTCTTGTTCTCTCTCTCATGCGTGTCTCTCTCTTCTCTCGTTTGTCTCATAAAACGGGTGTGTGTTCAAAGCTCCAGTCGCTATGTCGATGTGATCCAAACGCCCTCAGATGAGAAGAAACGCGCCCCAAGAACAAAAATCCAAACCCGGATTAGACTTCCGGCTGTGCATGCATTCTTGCACTCCCTCTCTTGCATCGCTGAAATATGTCCAAACGCTTTTTTCGTTGCCGGCTTTTGATCCCTGAACGAACCAGAACCGGCATGCATCAAATATGATTACTGTTGTCATTAATCGCCTCCTTCTCAGTCCCTCTCTTTCTCTTTCCATCTCTTTTGTTCCATGCCTTCTTAACTGATGATGACATCTCTGCCGGTAACCGAATAGCTCGTCTGATACATGCACCGCTGAGGCGAAGTCTCGGGACAGTTGCCGTGAAACAGCATCTGCCCGCCCCCAGCAACGCTCGTCGCGCCGCCGGGCGCCGTGAGGTTGAAGTCGCCCGTCTTAAGCAGCATCCTCGACGGCCGCTGATAGGGGCCCTTGATGTTCCTGCTCGTCGCGTAGTTGACGTTGTAATTGTTCGAGTTGAAGCAGAAGCTGCTGAAGAACAAAATATACAGCCCGTCCTCGGTGCGCACCAGGTCCGGCGCCTCCACCAGGGGTCCGTCGGCCGCCGTCCGGCTGAGGATCTGCACCGGGTCGCCGACTTTGCTGATGCCGTCCGCTTCTACCTCCTGGAGCATGATGGGCGTGTCCACGAGCGGCTCGACGCCGTTGTTGCAGTCGCCTCCGTTGCCGACGTTGTTGCC